ACGGCCGCGGTGGCGCTGCCCGCTCGCCTCGTCCTCCACGTCCCTTCGCGGGCTCGGCACGAGCAGCGGCTCATGGAGCACGGAGAGGCTTAGCCAGGGACTGGCGGACCTTTCCCTGCCAGTGTTACGGTCGCCCTGGGAGAAAAGGCATCGAGGATCTGTGCCAGGTGACACCTGGCCTTCGGGCTCACGGCTGGCGAGCGAGTTTTCAGTCGTCCGGCAGGGAAGACGGAGCACAGCGCTCTGGCCGCTGAGAGACGTCGCGGGGACGAGCCACGGCCTCCCGCACGCAGAACAAGGAGGGCCAGGAAGACACAGAAAACGGAGACCGAGTACCGCTCTTAGGGGCGCGAGAGCGGATGCTGGGCCCGGCACGCGGAGAAGGCGACACAGCCCAGGTCGCGCTGACTGTTGACTGCGGGACTGGGAGTGGGCGTGGCCTCTCGCGTCACCTGTCGGCAGCCTGTGTGCTCTGCACGTTTAAAGGACTTTACTCGACGGGCTTCTCAAAACGCCTTCTCTTGTTTTAAAAAGACGATGAGCACCAGGCCCTGTGAGCCCACAATCTTTAAATGAATGAAACAGTGAGCTCGGGCCTGAATGGCCCCGTCTCCTCCAGGGGCTTCTGAGCTAGTGGGAGACAGACGGGGGACACGTCCAGAGCCCCGTGTGTCACAGACAGAAGGCATGCAGGAGGGAGAAATTTCTGCGGCCCAGATGGTGCAGGGAGGTTACATGCATTTGCCTGGACTGTGACATCGACATACGCAGCGTCAAACGTGCTTTAGAAATGAGGAACCGTGTCACGTCTGGAAGTCCGGGGCTGACGGATCCGGACCCCTGGCACAGCCACCGAAGCCACAGGCCCACTGCGTCCCCGCAGGAGCAGCTGGCTGCACGATCTTCATCCCCGCCAGCAGCTTGAGAGGGAGCCAGTGCCAGAAACTTCCGCACGGGAAGGGAGGAGCTTCCGGAAGCACCCGCACAGTGGCCCTTGCATGTCCTGCTCACCCCGGAGCCGGAACCCGCGTTGGTGCGGGCCGCACCCCGGGGCCCGCAGAGGAAGGCCCACCAGCAGGCGGGCCGGCAGCCGCCAGTGCCCGCTACCGAAAACGTCTCTGGAAAAGCAAACGGGACGCAGCTGGGCTCGGAGGGGACGGGGCACTGTGTCAGCGGCCGTGGGGGTGGCAGTGCAGCCTGCCTTCCTGCGTGTCCCTCCTCCCTGAGGCCTCCACTTGCCCGCCACCGTCTCCTGGCCTGGCCACCTTGGAGCCCACGTGAGGACGTGGTGTCCTTCGGTCGCGCCCTCAGGCACCCCCTGCAGCTGTTCGGCTGCGTCTGGCCGCCCCCTCTCCGAGCACGGGGACAAGGTGGGGCGAAGCCTGTCTCACACTCGCAGAGTTTTTGAAACCTACGGGATTGGTCTGGCCATCTGCTCGGAAACAAGGCGGGACCTGGTCCGGAACACAGGGAACGATGTCACCCTCAGCCCCCGAAGCTCTCGAGAACGACACGGCACCGTCACACACCGCACAGCTGGGGAACGAGCGGACCTCCTTAGGAAGCCGAGAGAGACGCAGACGTCCCCAGCCAGAGGGGACTGCCAGGCTCTGCGTAGGGTCTGGGTTAGGGTCTGGGTCTGCATTTTCATTAGAGAGAAATAGCCCAGGTTCACCCACGTAAGAAACCACGAGCCCAGCCCACCACGCCAGCCCCCCGAAGCTCCCATCAGGGTTCTGCAGCCTCCCTGCACCCCACACTCTCATCGTGGAGCCTGTGGTGACTCTTTCCGTAGCAGATGACACGAGCCACGTCCCCTCGCAGGCTGAGCCAGTGTGTAAGGGGCGAGGACAGTCCCGTGACTGGACGGTGTGAGCACGGCGTGGACCCAGGCTGGGTCTCGGGGCACCGGCCGAGAACAGAGAGTGTGGGCTGAAGCTCGGGCCATGGGGAGGCACAGCGTGCAGGGCGCAGTGTGGGTGACCCGGAGTGAGCAGGGTGCGTGGAGAATGGGCAGGGACAGAAACACTCGAACCAGGCGCTTCGAGGGGGCGATGAATTAAGGGAGCACAGGCAGCGGGGAGTCTGCCTCCCAATGGGCACGAGACAGGGACCCCCTCCCCGGGGGTCGGGGACAGAGGACACCACGGGCGGAGTGGGAGCCTGGCGCCCTGGCCCCCAGCCTGGCAGTGCATAACCACAGCGCCTTTCCTCCCGGAGTCGGGGGTGGCAGGGGCCCGTGGGCCACGTGGGGGTGGGCTGCAGTGGGGGACAGGGACCTGGCAGGCCTGGAGACATCCGGACCTGCCTCGGTGCCCTCGCTCGCCGTGTCCCCGGCCGCCGGGCATCACCGGATGCCGTACACAGCGACGGCCAGTGCCTGGAGCTTTGCCCGTGGGCATACCGCACATGCAGCGAACAATCACACGAGAACTCGGGGTCTCCTCACGGCGGTGGGGTCTCCGTGCTCCAGAGGGCGGGCCGCACAGCCCTGCGGGGGTGGGGCCGGGGGACGCGGCCACACTGGGCGCTAACCACCCTCTCTCCTCGGCCCCGCAGGACGATGCTGAGGGAGCAGTACATCGACAGAGCGCGCGTGGCCGTGTTTGGGAAGGTGAGCTGTGCTGCCTCGGCTGGTCACCCCGTCCAGGAGCGTGGCCGCAGCTCGCCGGGGACGTCTCTGGGCCGGCGGTGGGCGAGCGGCCGTGTTTCTAGGCATGAGAGGTGGGACGCTCAGCGCCTCCGGCTGTGGCCAGCTGGCCTGTCCTTTTATGTCACGGAAGGAGAGACAGAAAGGAGTGGGTCTTGGGCACCCTGCGGGGCCCCCGTTCTCTGAGGGGCCCCCAGCAAGGCCGCGGGGTTCGCTCTCTGCACCTTCACGTCTGTGCATCGTCGCGAGCGGTCCCTACTCGAGTTTACCGGCTCCGCTGCCTGGGAGGGAGGGGGTTCACGCCGTGAGCCAGCAGAACGGACAAGCTCCCACGGGCCGGCCCACGTCCAGAGCCTGTAGCCGGACCTGCCAGCGGCTGCAGGCAGGTCCCTGGGGAGCCACTTCGCATCACCCGGGCACAAGCACTGCCATTCTTAGGTGGCCTCGTCCCTCGGCCCCTGATCTCAAGAAGGCCAGAGGCAGGTGCGTGAGCAGAGAGATCCGTCTCCCCGGGGAGAACGGCTCACAGTGCAGGTCCCACCGAGGCGCCTCGCGGCAGCCTGCCCACAGGTGGCAGCCGCCAGAGGTAACCCCGCAGGTGGCAGCCGCCAGAGGTAACCCCGCAGGTGGCAGCCCCCAGAGGTAACCCCGCAGGTGGCAGCCGCCACAGGCAACGCAGACGACCTGCCACGCCATCACCTCCGGAACCTGTGAGGGGCACGCGGTGCATCTGAGACATGGCCCTGCCTTGGGGGTGGTCCCTGGAGCCTCCTCTAGCTCCTCTGTACCTGCCAGAGGTGAGGCGGGGAAGCCAGGGCCCGGTGGCCCCCTCCACAGCCGAGGGACAGACCAGAGCCTGGACGCCATCCTAGAGGCTCATTCTGAGCTGCTGGGGATCCACGCACTGCCTCGAGGGGCTCAGAGCCAGCCGCGCGGTTTGTCAGGCCTGACCACGTGTCCCCACCCGCACGGCGTTTACTGCCCAGCAGCGTGACAGTGGCTCGAAGCAGGGCGCCCAGGCCAGCTGCTAGTCTCTGGCCTCGCTCCACTGTTGGCGAGACACCCGGGCTCCCTCTCGGCACTGAGACTCGGCCCACCTCCGGGGAGTTCAGACACTCGCTCTGGACACAGAGACGTAGGTGTCCCCACGCGGGAAATGGGCTTGCTGAACGAGTGGCCGATTCCGCTGGCCGGCAGTGCGTGTGCTGGGGGAGGGGCCCGCACACTCCAGAGGGCAGCTCGGGTCCGTCATCCAGACGGGCCTGGGAGCGCGCCCGCTGTCCTCTGCTGGTCACCTTCCTTTGGTGGCTCTGCGGTGCTGGGCCCTCGCCCCTTTGTGTCGGACGCTGGGACGGAGCCCGTGCGGGTTCACGACCACGCCCCGCTGACCGGCTCCGTGCAGGCCGTTTTCTCGTTCGCTCACGGCCAGAGTCGGTCTGGGTGCCACCGGGCTCTGCCTCCCCTCGGCCTGAGGCACGGGGCCCCCTGGAGCCACCGCGGGCCCCCCAAACTGTGGACCCCGTACAGGTGTCCTGGGGGAGCCAGGGAGGGCCACCTGCCGGCTGCTTTCTGCAGAATGTTTCTCTCCCCGAAACCCTCGTAAACCTCAGGGTTCACTAGCAAAAATATGTCCAGCACTTTAAAAAAACAAACAAACAAACAATTTTTAGAGTAGTTGCAAGTTCACAGCAAAATGGAGAGCGAGGTAGAGTGATTCCCCCTGCTCACCGCCCCCAAAACGCACACACAGCCCCCCCTCATACACGCCCCCGGCAGACGAGACCTCAGTGACAATGGGTGAACCTACGGGGACATGTCATCTCCCCAAGTCCACAGTCAACATGAGGGCTCACCCTCCATGTTGTGCGTTCTGTGGGTTCAGACAGTGTACAATGACACGCACCCCCCATTAAAGTCACACAGCGGCTCCGCTGCCCTAAACATCCCCTGTGCTCTGCCTGTCCACCGCCCCCTCAGCCCCTGGCAGCCGCTGACCTCGTCGCTGTCCACAGGGCTCGGTCTTCTCCTGAAGGTCATGGTTGGTGTCACGTGGGGCGTCACGTGGGGTGTCACTGTGCAGTCTGCTTCCTTTCACTGGGTGGGGTCCCCGTCCCCATCTTCTCACACTTAACTGGTGTTCGAAAACGGCGTCAGACTTGAGTCAAGCCAGAGGGTTAAAACGTGCAGGAATCACCCCTTTTCCACGAATAACCTGGAGAAACCCATTACATCACGGCACACGATAATGGAAGATGTAAGGTCCCACGAAGTCTCATGATCCCCAGAAGCCGGGGAAGTGGCCGCTCCGAGCCAGGTCCCGTGACGCGCGCTTAATGTCCCTCCGTGTCCTTCCTCGGCTCGTTGGCTCATTTATTCTGCGTGCTGAGTGACGCTCCGCTCTCTGGAGGACCAGTGGGTCCATCCGTCCCTTGCTGAAGGACGCGTTGGTCACTTCCCAGCCTTAGCAGCTGTGAGTGGAGCTGCCGTGACCGTCCACGTGCAGGCTTTGCGTGACAGTCTTCAGCTCCTTTGGGGAGACGCTGGGGCGCATGATTGCGGGGTCGCAGGGTGAGAGCACGCTTAGTTCTGCAAGAAGCCGCCACACTGTCCTCCAGAGCGGCTGCCCCGGGCCGCGTCCCCGCCAGCAGTGGGTGAGCTGCTGCTGCCTCATGTCCTCGCCAGTGCTCAGTGGTGACCGTCAACACTTTAAATAAACAAACCGCAGAATGACCTGGAAGGACTTGCAGATTCCATCAACAATAAATGTCATTAGCCAGGGAACAAAAAGACTTTTGTCACTAACACAAGGTACTCGGTTCCGCTGAAGGAGCCACTCCCACACAGCACGCGTGAACAGCCGCACCGTGAACGGTTAGTGCCATGGTGAGAGGGGCCTGGGCGTCACGTCCCCTCTGTCAGGCGGCGGGTTCTCCACACTCACCGACATGCGCACACGCACACATGCGCACACCAGCCCCGTGCCCCGCCCTGCTGCTCTCGGGCCCCTGCTCCTCTCCCCGCCCGCCTCTCCCCATCCAAACTCCTGTGTCCCACTCCCGTGAGGCCTTTGGGGACACTGGAGCCCGTCCGAACCACGCAGCTTTGAGGGCGCCCATGGCAGACGACGATGTGAGGGCTGGCACTCTCTGGGAGGCCCACGTAGAAGGGGGCGCTTTCGTGTCAACCCCAAGGCAAGGGACAGAGGGGAATCTGGGGGGTCGCCCGCGTGCAGGACACGCGTGGGCGTCCGTCTCGGGGTGGCCCCTGAGCGGGCTGTCAGGGCAGACCAGTACGGGAGCCCTTTGTCACCACTGCTGCCTTGGCCCGCTCTCGAAATCACAGAAAATGGGTCGGCTTTGCCTGTAGACAAGAAACGGGGGACACGATGGTGCCCCCGGTGACCCCGCACTCACAGGGCGCCCACCCTGGAGCACACGCCCACGCCCGTCACTCCCTCTTCGTGCGGCTCGACGCTGGGGCCCAGCAGGGCGGGGCCGGCGTCACGCAGCACCCGGGCGGGAAGGAATCCGCTTGCCATCTTCCCTGCCCTAAACCATTTTTAAGTGGACATTCAAAAAAACAAACACAAAACCATGTGGAAATGGCTGCTCGAGAGGCTGGTGCGGCCGAGTGCTGGCGCTGAGCCCGCCCCCCTCTGTCTCGCACCCAGGATTACGGCGGGTACCTGAGCACGTCCATCCTCCCAGCGAAGGACGCAAACCAAGGCCCCATCTTCGCCTGCGGCGCTGCTCTCTCGCCCATAACGGACTTCAAGCTCCACGGTAACGGCCAGTCTCCTGGACGGAGAGCCCAGCCCCGCGCTTGGGCCCCACAGCCTCCCCTCGGCTCTGCGTCCCCACCCGCCCCCACCGCAGGCCCCCCAGAGTTGTAGGGCTCATGGGCGACGCCTCATACAGAGCCTGGGGACAGGGAAGGTGGGTTTCGAGCCTCCCGTTCTGGATAAAAGTGGCTCGTCCACTGATGCCCGTAAACCACATCCGACGTACGCGACCAGGACTTGCAGGGAGCTGGGAAAAGCTCACGTGTCCCCAAAGGGAAGGGGGTGAGCCGCACACCCCACCGTGGCTGCCCAGGCCCCGTGTCCTGCTCTGGTCTGGGGCCCGGCGTGGGGGCTGTGCCCGGCGCGGGGCTGTGCCCGGCGGGCTGCTTGGGGGGCTGCCTGGGTGGTAAGCAGTGGGGGTCTCTGCGGTCAGCCCCGCCCTGCCCTCAGCCAGCGCCTTTCCTTGGAGACAGTGGCTTCCTCACGGGCAGGGGTCGGAGCCCAGGGACAGGTGACAGGAGGCTCACTGCAGGGACCAGACAGGGAGCAGACCTCCCGAGCGTGGGAATCGGACCTCTGCCCCGGCCAGACCACCATCGTGGCTCTGTCCCTGCCGTGGGCGCCAGGCTCCCTGCCGCCACCGTCCTCCGCTCAGCCAGCCCCTCCTCCCGGGACGTGGGCGGCTCTGGGACTTGAACCCCTGCTTTAAATGCTCCGTGGCTGCACCTCCCACACGCCCCATCTCCGAACCGGTGGACCCTGGGAATGGCCCCGGCCACCACTGTGGCGTCCAGCGGCGTCCAGCTCCCGCAGCCAAGTGTGCCAGCGGGCGCGCTGACCTTCACAGGGTGCCCTGATGCTGATGTCACCTTCCGATCGCACGAGCACTGAGTCCACGTTTTTAATCATTTAAGTTTAATCTCCCCGCGGGACAGCATGTAGCATAGTTTGCACTTTTTCAAATTCAGGGCGTCTTGACTTTTAAAATCATGCCGCTTCACATCCGCCTGGTTTGAATGCACGTAGGTGCTGCCGGCCAGCATGAGACTTGTCACGGTGCCCGGACGGGGGTGCGGGGGGGACGTCTCCGCGTCGTCTCTTCTACCTGGCAGAGGTCGTCCCTGAACCCCTTGCTGTCTGCCGCACTGTCCCCTCAGCCCGTGCTGTCTCCGCCCGCAGCGTCCACTGGACCCGCCGTCACGGTAGAACAGAGACGTGCGAGGCTCGTTTAAAAACTGAGTAAATCCTGAAGGACGTTTTCTCCCATACGTTGGGATGAAGTGGGGGGTTCTCCCGTTTATTCAGAATTCAGACTGATTAGCTTTTGCTTCATTAAAGTCTCTCTGTCCTGCTAAAAAGCCAGCCCCCAACGCTGTCATTCAGTGTCACCGTGGTGCGTTCCATCTCATTTGCCGTGGAAAGGCCCGAGAGATTGAGTTTGGTTTTCTAAAAACGAACATTGGCTGCTGTTTGTTTTGAGTGGAAATGGGTCTGCTGGCCGCCCCAGCCCCGCCCCGGGGCAGCCCTAGTCTGGGGCTCCCCACGGACGCGCTAACCCTCCCTTCCCATCTCGTGCCCAGCATCGGCGTTTTCCGAGAGGTACCTGGGCCTCCACGGACTTGACAACAGAGCCTACGAGGTGAGTTTGGGCGCAGCTGCCACTTGGCCAAATGGGGGACTTGACACAGTTAGTCCCCTGTTGTCTGGGGTCCCCTTTCCC